GGGTCGCCAGCTCTACCGACTGAACTAAGCGGGCGCCCACATATCCACTATTTGGCGAAGCACAATTAATAGTTACAGATTTATTTTTAAGTTTCCAGAATCATATGTATTACGTAGGGTATCTTCTGTAGATTTAAAATATTAATCAGTAAAATTTTTGCAGCAACTTTTTGCATATGGTTTAGGTAATTGTATTGTCATGCATGAGGGATTATGGGTACCAGCGTGTGCTTGTCATTGCTGGTGACAGCCCCTTCACAGAAAAAAAATAATTCTGCCTTCGTCTCACAGTGCTCAGTCATCCGCCTATGAGTGGCTAACAGCTGGTCATCTCGCAAGAGAATGATGAGCTGAGTGTCAATTATGCATGCGTTCTGTACAACTAGAAGCAACTAGAAAAAAAAAAACCTCTGTATAAAATATGAATTTATTTTTGTAGTCCTTGAGACAGGTGGAACTTTTGGTACCACATAAATACAGATTTTGTCCAGTCCTGCCTCGGATAAAAATAGAGAAAGGTATGACAGTGTTAAAATAAACATTGTGGCATCCCACTGAGGCGCCCTTGTGTTGTTTTTGAAACTTTTTTCTACCAATGCTTCTTCTCTCTTTGGCTGCAACTCCGTGTCATATTGAAAGGTTCAGTTCACTCAAATTTCACTATCTATCTAACCACGCAGATAGTTTTCATTTTATTGTTACACGTCATGACATATGTCACTGAGATTTCTGTCACCATCCTTAAACAATTAAGGTAAATGTAATTCAATTTGTGAAGCTCACAGCATTGAAAACATCAACAACATTTTCCAAAACAAATTTCCCTGTTACTCTTGATAGTCCACAGAACACACTGTTTATAAGGTAATGAAAGCTGTTAACATTGTGCTCTGTAGAGCATACAAGGGATGAAACTTCTTCAACCTTTACCGTATAACCAATATTACCTGCATTGCTACATACCACTGGAGATAAGTTAGAACACCTGGAGATAAGTTAGAACCACTGGAGATAAGTTAGAACCACTGGAGATAA